GTTAGAATCTACCTTTGAAGTGCAGTGTCATGAATGGTGCATTTCACAAGTTGCATGCAGACTTCAAGTGATGATTCTGTTAGGACTGCATCTGTTAAAGAAAAAGCTCTGCAAATATTCTTTGTTGGACATCTGAATACTTAACAAACTGGGGAACTGTCAGCATAAAGTTTTTCCTGAGGAGCACAGCCAAAATATTTTCTTACCTCAGGGCTGTCATCGCATTAGACCTGCCAAAGAGTTTCCAGCTTTTATTGCAACTGCGGGTATGAAGTGACTACTTGGGTCCTCAAGTACATGACCTGTGCAGAAATAGATAGACATACAATATGGAGTACACAAGGTAAGTAAGTATTTACTTTCTACATATTCAGGATTTGGGAATGCTGTTCATGTGCAGTACTGAAACTGTACGCAGCAGCTTGTGAACTTTAATAAGTAACTTATTTTCTGGTGCAGCCAATGGTGAAATGTTCTTTGGCACCAATAGCAGGAAACATAGCCCTTCTGTAGATTAAAATCAGTATTGCTTTAATTACATACACTGTTTATAAGGTGACAGTAAAATCTAATACTGCAATCTATTACCAGGACTGATTTACAGAAAAGGGTGTTAGCCTTGTTTGGTTGGATATCAGCTTGTTCTGCCTTTTCAGTAAAGAAGGTGAATTACTTATGTAAGAGGTAAAAGGGTGTGCCAGAGACAAGCTCAGCTTTTCAGAAGCCCTCTTTTGTGGGTGACCTAAAAATCTCTTTGCAGGCTAGGAAGCTGCACACCACTTCTAAAGCAAGAAGAAGATGAACACATATGGTGGACTACCCAGGCAGTTGTGCCTTTTCCACGTTTTAGCTCTGTCCTTACATTCAGGCACTTCTTGTTAGAAATAATCAATGGGTCAGCTAATACTGCTAAAGCAGTGGGCATTTCTAACAGTCTTTCTCTGCTTGGGATAGAACCATCCATTCATGGCTATATTACTGAAGTGGGAAATAATGCTAAAGATCTAAGATACTAGAGTTTTGGTGAATGTGTGTAGGAAAAGACAGGACTGTAAAAATGGTCCTTTCTCACTGTACAAATATGATATGGCTGTGCTTCAAAGATGAGTAGTGCCCTATATTTCCAAGGTTGAGCAGTTGAAGTAGGAGATGAAGACTAGTATCACAAACTAATTCCATAATCAGAACTTCCAAGCAGAATTACAATGGATTTCAATTACTTTCAGTCACTGTTCAAAAATAAAAGCAGACACTATCCCCTCTCCTTTCTGTTTCCTACAGAAAAATGTTAAAATCAACAATCACGCATACCTGGCAAGCGTGGGCCATCTACATCATCCTAACGGCAAAGCTCTCTGAAGAGCAAGATTTGAAGCAAGTTTGTCCCTCGTGTGGCACCACTCCGTTTTGCAACTGTTCTTCCAGGAGGTTGGATTTCATTCCACCAGGGCTCACGGATAAAATCACAAGGTTAAACCTGGCCCACAACAAGATAAAGCTCATCCGAGCACGTGATCTGCAGCAGGCTGCGAACCTGAGAGTGCTGCTGCTGTCATCCAATGAAATCAGCTCAATAGAGGAGGACTCGTTTCGCTCTCTTGCAAAACTGGAGCTCTTGGACTTATCAAATAACAGCTTGTCTCACTTGTCCCCTGTGTGGTTTGGGCACCTCTTTTCCCTCCAGCACCTCAACCTTCAAGGCAATTTCTACCGGGACCTGGGGGAAAGTTCCCTCTTTTCTAACCTGAGAAACTTGAGCTCTCTCTATCTGGGCAACCAGCAGTTCTCCACGATAAGAGAGGGAAACTTTGAGGGCATTTCACTTCTCAGCGAGCTTTGGATTGACGGTGGCAATCTCAGTCTGTATGAGCCAGGAAGTTTGAAATCAGTTAGGCAGATAGACCACATGATCATCAGCCTAAAAAGTGTGGATGTATTCTCAGTGATTGTCGAGGATCTCCTGCACTCTGTTGTATGGTTAGAAGTGAGAGGGATCAAATTGGATATTAAAAAGGAAAGTTTAACAGAGAATTCTACACTTCCTTTTATGATGCAGAAAGTTACATTTAAAGATGTTCTGTTCACCGACCAATATGTTAGCCGAGTAATTGTAGTATTCAAGAAAATAAGATCTTTGAAAGAGTTCGAAATAATAGATTGTGTACTTGAGGGAGAAGGACATTGGAATATGACAGAAATTGTAAGCAGCGGTCCAAGTTCTGTTGAAACAATATCAATAACAAATATAACAATTCCATATTTTCATCTTTTTAGTGACCTTCAGGGTGTAGAATCACAACTAAAGGACCTGAAAAGACTCAGAATTGCAAGTTCTAGAGTTTTCATGGTACCATGCCAACTTACAAAGCACTTTTCGTCACTCTTGTATCTTGATTTTCAGGATAATTTGCTTGGAAATAATCGCTTAACTGAAACAACCTGTAAAGGCGCTTGGCCTTCATTGCAAACTTTAAATCTAAGTCAAAACTCTCTCAAATCTCTAGAAGAGACTGCAGAAAATTTAAGTCATCTATCCAAACTCGTTAATCTTGACATTAGTCAAAATAAGTTTGGTGTGATTCCAGATACGTGTCAATGGCCAAAAAACCTTAAGTATTTAAATCTCTCCAGCACTCATATTCCTAAATTAACAACCTGCATTCCTCTGACCCTTGAAGTTTTGGACGTCAGCGCTAATAACCTGCAAGAGTTTGGGCTGCAACTGCCTTTTCTCAAGGAGCTGTACATTGCAAGAAACCAGCTGAAGACCTTGCCTGATGCGGCTCCCATTCCCAACTTGGTGGCCATGAGCATCAGAAGAAACAAGCTCAACAGCTTCTCCAAGGAAGAGTTGGAGTCCTTTAAGAATATGCAGAGGCTGGATGCCAGGGACAATAACTTTATCTGCTCCTGTGAATTCCTCTCCTTCATTCATCATCAGGCTGGGATAGCCGAGATGTTAGTGGGCTGGCCGGAAAACTACGTGTGTGACTCTCCGCTGGCAGTGAGAGGGCAGCAGATTGGAGCGGTGTACCTGTCCCCGATGGAGTGCCACCGCTCCCTCCTTGTGTCGCTGATCTGTG